AATTTATATCCTTATTTCTTGTGAAAATTTATTATTTACAGTATTTATTTATTGTGTAAAATTCTGAGTTTAAATTAAATTAATTTTAAATAAAGAAAAATAATGTTAATTTAATCATTCTGAAATATAGCTAAAATTTACGTAGTAAATAAATATACAATTATATTTTATTACTGATTATTTAAAAAAAGTAAGCAATAATGAAACTTAATGATAGTAAGTAATGTTAAACAATAATAAAATAATTAGTTAATTAAAACCTAATTGTTTATTATTTTTTATTTTATAATTTACTATTTATTTATTTTTAAATAATTACTTTAAACTGTAATAAAACATTTCAAAATTAATTATCATAAATATGGAATTATTTCATCATTTCTTTATAACTTTTCAGTATTTTATCTATCATAAATAAATATAGAAAAAATAATTTATTATAAAAAGTTATGAAAACTTTCGAAATAATGAAGTATATACAAAAACATAAAATTAATTTCCGAATAGCCGACATTTTATCATTATTAATTATACCCTCTCCGCCCTGTAAGCACCAAGAGGGCCTTTGGCCTTTTTTCATATCCGGCCAGGCCCACAATGAGAAGGCCAATGGTGAGATACGAGGCCTGACATCCTGGTCTTTTCGATTTTTAGTCCTCCCGAATTCGATCTTAGATCTCTCAGAGCGGTAGATTGACACCTTAAAGGCCTTAATTATGGCAATTTATTTAAATAACTATAGCAAAATATAAATAAAATTTTAAAAAATCAAACATATTTTTCATTTTCATAATTTTAATGTTTCATCGATGATTATGAATATACTTCTCTATAAAATGATGTTTATATAAATTGCTTTTAAGTAGGAAGCTGATGTCCGAGTTTAAATATAAACAGTTAAACGTAATTATAATTAAGGTTAAATTTATAATAGAGATATTAATATACAGTAAACAATATAAAATTATTTAAAAAGTCTAGTTAAAGATTTATTTTCTTCAATTTTTAAAAGAATATTTAAACATAAAGCTGTGTTTATTGTGAATGATCTTTGGAAGCAAATTTTACAATTGTTATCCCGTTTGTATCGATTATAAGATTTAGTTTTAAAATAAATAAGATAAAAATTATTTTATATCGAATTTTCTTATTGATAAACTGGCAATGATAATACACGAATACACAATTTTTAATATAATATTAAGCATAATTAATTTGTTGAAAAATACCAAATATCATATGTAATGAGCATTAATTTTGTTGTAATTCTTCAATAAAAAGACATTTTTTCGAAAATTGTCTGAAATAATTTATTTGAATTGTAAATATTTATCAATAAATATAAATTACATAAAACTCGCATACTGTTTTTAAATGTAAAATTATTCATATTTATTCGTAAATATTTACAATTCAAATAAACTATCTTCAAATATTGTTTTAAAAAATTTTCTAAAAATTACAAAGAAACTTAATTTTCATTAGATATATTTGAGCATTTTTTCAACGAATTAATCAAATATTAAAAAATCATCCGGATTTAAATGTTTATAATTATTTATGAGAATGATTAATTGCTTTTAAGATAAACTTATTATAATAAATGGAATTTTGAGTACATTTAGAAATTGTCTGTCTGTATATGAGTCATTGGCTCCTGTTGAGTTCTTAGAATTATTTTCTGATAATTTTGCCAACAATTTGGAGACGTATTCGCGCATCAGATTTTAAAAATAGTAACTTTGTTTCCGTGATTTTATTATATCGTGTTTCCTTGATTAAATTAGTAATTCCAAGATTAAAATAAGTCATTTGTTCTTTTCTTATCTACAAAAAAAAATTGATGACCGTCATTTATTTAATATTAATATCGATAAGTATGTTATTATCTCTAAGGTCCACTCTTAATGAAAGAATGATTATAATAATAGGATTATTTATTATCTACAGATAAAATTCTTTCGATTAAAGGGATTGATCAATAATACTTGAATCATTGACACACGAGATGATACATTGATTACAAAGGTAGGAAAGCGATTTTTTTTAAAATTAGTCTTTGTCTAAAAATTAATACGTACGAATATAATGTATACATTTTAAAATGATTCTTTGTTTGTATCTAACCAGAAATATCACGATTATTCAGTTTGATTGTTTGCCAAACACGAAAGGAATGCCAATGTATGATGAATATAATGAATTTACAATATAGAAGGAAAAAAGACAGTTCTATTTCAAAGAAATATATTTTCTTATATAAAAAAAAATCATACACGGGATTAAATTGCTAGAGAATAAACGATCGTATCAAAATTGGAAGACATTTATAAATAAATGCATTTCTTTTTTTCTTTTTTTTTTGCAGCTGTCACCTTATTTCAACTTGGTGGATTAAATCCTGTATAGCTGGACAATATAGCTTTTAGCTATCATTTTGGCAGATGGATAAAATAAGTACAAATGGATCAAAATAAATAATTACAAATATAAATATATTTTTATACGTTAAACTTCTTTATCATCTTTGCGCCGATTCCGGTAAAGCGTAATTGAGAAATTCCATACACCATTCTTTAATTCCTAGTTTTTCCTTACAGCAAAACGTATTGACCACAACTGACTTAGTTACTTTCGAACAACTCTCACAATCATCTCTCAAGTTACTGTCCAGTAAACATTTATCTGGTCCTTCCGCCTTCAAGGCTAGCTCGACTAATTTCTGTAAATTCTCGAACTTTGTCGGATCTACGACAGGATTAGATTTAACCGAAATGGTTGCCAAGAAAAAGCAGACCAAAAAGATAATCAAGCGTTGGGCCATCGTGTCTAAAACCAAATAAAATAACTAATTATTCTTTTAATACAAGTATTTTAATAAGTAAAAATATGTCTTAATTATTACGAAGATTCCGGAATTAATACTAGCGACTTACCTGAAGTTATCGGCGTTGTTAAGTTTTTCGACAGCCCTAGAAACTTCCTTTTTATCTTCTGCTTCGATACATCTTCGTCTACGTCGTCTACCCAAGTTTGACGTCACGTCCAATCGCCTGTCGTGAAAGACCGGATAAAGGGGTGACGCTAACGGGACGTTCTCCTCGATTCACAAATTTGAACATGGCATTTAGTGTTGGATGCTCCTTCTTATTTGGAATTCAGAAAATTTACTCTTCCGCTTTTTGGTATAAACATTCTTTTGACATTGACCCAATTCGATTCTTTTCTACTCCGAGTGAAGATTGCGTTCACGTGCTTGACACAATTACTTTTGGAAACTGCACCTGAACCCGATTTATTAAAAAATGTCTATATATATATATAAAATTTTCCTATTTTATCACCGAATTTTTATAATATATTCGCATTCTTGAGATTTGTATATATTAATTCAATGGCCTTTAAATTATTCGAGTGTCAATGACAATAGCAATACGTCTGCTTAGTAATTTCTCGATTCTCTTAAACTGCCCTTATCTCTCACTTATGACATCATTTTATCATTTTTAAGCGCGTCAATTATTTCCGCGAAATAGTATTGTTCTCTCTCTTTTAGCAGTTGACCCTACTAACAATTTTAATACCGCCAGGCTAATTATTTATCCGATATGGACGTATTTATTTTATTTACTTTCATTACAAACGAACAAATTTCATTTTAGCGGTCGTATTACTATAAATGAGGCTGTTTTATATTTAATTTTATTATTCATCCTAAATTAGTCTCCGGCTCTGGCTGTGACAAACCAGACTCTAATTTTAGAATCCGAATAATTTAGTAGAAGTTTCTGACGTCGACGATTTGCAAATTTTTGAGATTTTTTCCCCCTTCTTTCCAACTTTTCCTATCAGAAAATATAAATATATTTTGCTCCTCCCGATTTTATTATTTAAAATATGTTTGTATATATTTTCTCACTTGTAACACTATAGACTATATAGAGTGACCTTGCCCTAATTACCGTATTCATAATCATCCCCAGACCAATCCCTATTTATTTTCACAAGGTTATTTCTGATTCTTATCTCTAGAGTTGCAATTGCTCCAAAGCAATTTTATATTTGAGTAGAAATTGAGAGTTAAAATTATCTCTCTCTCTTTTTTTAATCATTAATTTTGTCTCTCTGTTGAAAGTTTTATAACACATACCGTTGTCTATTTATACAATTATTATCATTTTATTGCATTTACTTTATCGTTAATATGCAATTAAAATCATTAACCCTTTAATATTGTAATAATTTATATTAAAAGGAATTAATTTAAAACAATAAATGATTTTAATTAATTAAAATTTTAAAAGCCTAACCTAATTTTTTTAATGAATTTTTTTAAGATAAGGAACAGACATTGACATTAAGATATATCGTTGTGAACTCTGCACTTTTAAGCAAACAAGTAAACAGGCGTCCTGTTCATAATCAGGAATAATTAGAATTTTGGACTAAAGTCGATTATGCCTTATTACATAGCAACAGATTTTTGCAAATAAAGAGGTTTTTTTGATATGGAAAATCTACCTTAATCAATTGTATGAAATGTGTTGTTAATACGAATCTAAATTTAAACATCAAAAATTATATTGCTTAAAATTAATATTTATTCAATTTAGTTTTCCATTTTTTAAAATACATTTAATTAATAACTTTTATCGTGAATAAATTAACTAATATTATTCCTTCATATAATAATTAAACAGATAATTTTTAAATCGATGTTATTTTTTTTCTCTCTTTTTTAAAATTTTTACTAAATAGAAATGTGTTATTTTCGAGAAAAATATATTTAGTTAGTTAATAGAACTATGTGTCGTTTCGTAACATCCGCAAATGTATATTATATCAGGACGTCGACCGAAGAAATGAGAAGAGATCAGCGAGAGCTGATCCCGGATCCGTATTATATTTTAAGTAGAACAATATACTAAATTAATGGCATTCCCTCTTCCAAATCTAAAAAGTTTTATAATGTTTTGTTATTTTAGTATCGTGTTTTATAAATATTCTGTATTTATAAATGCGATAATCACAATAATATATAAATGTGTAGTGTGCTCCGAATTGTTATACCGGATTTGTAGTGGAAGATTGTCCTCTGCGTAATTCTCCATCACGTGCAAGAAGTTACTACCCAATTATGGAATTCTCCCCTAACGCACCTTCTCTATATAAATGTTAACATTTTTTGAAGTATGCCCTGTTTATTAAATAGTTGGGCCACTTTTATAGAAAGGATATTATATCAGGTATTATAAATTACATTTAATATATATATATATAT